CCCTGCCCTCGTTTCCTATCATCCATGCCCCCTCGTTTCCCCCTTTGTACGTTCAGCCTCTTCCCTCCCTGCCCCTCCCTTCCTCCCCCCCTGCCCTTTGCTCTCCCCTCGTTACGCTCCCTTCTCCCCATCCCTGCTGCCCTCTTACCACCATCAGCCCATCCCCACGACCAGCCCCCTCCCACCCTTCAATCCCCCTCTCTCTCTCCTCTCTCTCTCTCTCTCTCTTCTCTTTCTCACACACACACACACACGCACACTCCCCTCCCCCACCCCCCCCCACCTACATCCTCCCATTCTGCCCCTCCCTGCCCCTTTCCCACCCCCTCGCACGCCCCTCACCTCCCACCTCCGTGCAACTGGTTTCCCCCCCTATGGTGCCACCCTTGCATCTGCTCGCCCCTCTGCTCACCCTCTGCCCGCCCCTTTTCCGTGCCCTCAGTCTGGCCCCAGCCCCCTGCCCGTTGCTGCCCCTCCCCTTGCCCCTCAACTCCCCTGCCCCCCGTACACCCCAAGTCCCATCCAAACCGCCCCCCACCCTCCCCCGGCTGCCCGTTTCCAGCCTCTCCACCCCCCGCGACCGGTGTGCGGCTTCCAATCCGCCCCAACGGTGGTGCGCACGGGGCGTTTCTTCGCATGGGCAAAGCCTCCCCGTTGGGCCCCCCCACCCACCCGCCCCCCCCCCCCCCCCCCCCCCTGGTTCGTTGTTGGGCAAAAAAACGAAAAGAAAGATCGGACGCGCTAAAATCGTCCTTTCTTTTTCCCCGCTTGCCCCTTCCCCCGGCACGGTGCCGCGAGCAAAGGGCATAAATGGGCTACAACACGAGGACTTCCCGGCAGGTCACCCCAGCACCAGTACTGCTCTCCCGCCCACCGGCGTTTAGTGCTTCGGAGTTTCTGATGGGATCCGGCGTAGTAGCCGAGGTATGATCGTACCACGTCAACCTCGTGCCCCGACCGCTACACCACCCCTTGCCCGGGTCCCCCCCTTCACTAGTCACAACCCCCTGCCCCCTCATGCCATCCGCTCCCCCCGCCCCTACCCTCCGCGTGCCCGCCGTCCCTTGCCGCCTCTTTTGACCCTCCCTGCCCCCCTCGCCGTTTCCCACCGCCCGCCATTCGCTCCTCCCCGCCCGTGCGCTCCCCTCCTTTACCTTCTCCTCCCCCCCTCCCCTCCTCTGCTGCACGCCTCTTCCTTCCCCTCGCCGACCCACTCCACTCCCTGCCCCTCCTCAATCCGCACCCTGCCCCTCGTATCTCGCCCCCCTATGCTTGGTTTCTCCCCTCCCTGCCCCTCGCCGCCTTTCCCCGCTCCCCACCTCCCCCCTCTCCCTGCCCCCCCACTCTCCCCCCCCCTTGTCCTTGGCTTCCTACCTCCCTGCCTCACCTTTCCCCCCTCCGTGTGCTCAGCTTCTCCCCTCCCTGCCCCTCCCTCCTCCCCGCCCTGCCCCTCATTTTCCGCCCCCCCCCCCCCCACGCCCGGTTTCTCCCCTCCCCGCGCCTCCCTTTCTTTCTCCGTGCCTCTCCTTTGCTCCCTCCCTGCCCCCGCCTGCCCATGCCCCTGTCTTTGGCTTCTCCCCTCCCTGCCCCACGTTTCTTCCCTCCCTGCCCCCCCGTCTGCCCCTCCCTTGTTTTCCCCTCACCCATTGCTTCTCTCCTCCCTGCCCTTGATTTCCCACACCCCTGCCCTCGTTTCCTATCATCCATGCCCCTCGTTTCCCCCCTTTGTACGTTCAGCCTCTTCCCTCCCTGCCCCTCCCTTCCTCCCCCCCTGCCCTTTGCTCTCCCCTCGTTACGCTCCCTTCTCCCCATCCCTGCTGCCCTCTTACCACCATCAGCCCATCCCCACGACCAGCCCCCCTCCCACCCTTCAATCCCCCCCTCCCTCTCTCTCTCTCTCTCTCTCTCTCTCTCTCTTTCTCACACACACACACACACGCACACTCCCCTCCCCCACCCCCCCCACCTACATCCTCCCATTCTGCCCCTCCCTGCCCCTTTCCCACCCCCTCGCACGCCCCTCACCTCCCACCTCCGTGCAACTGGTTTCCCCCCTATGGTGCCACCCTTGCATCGCTCGCCCCTCTGCTCACCCTCTGCCCGCCCCTTTTCCGTGCCCTCAGTTGGCCCAGCCCCTGCCCGTTGCTGCCCCTCCCCTTGCCCCCTCAACTCCCCTGCCCCCCGTACACCCCAAGTCCCATCCAAACCGCCCCCACCCTCCCCCGGCTGCCCGTTTCCGCTCTCCACCCCCGCGACCGTGTGCGGCTTCCAACCGCCCAACGTGTGGTGCGCACGGGGCGTTTCTTCGCATGGGCAAGCCTCCCCGGGGGCCCCCCCACCCCGCTGGGTCGTTGTTTGGGCAAAAAAACGAAAAGAAAAGAATCGGACGCGCTAAAATCGTCCTTTCTTTTTCCCGCTTGCCCCTCCCCCGGCACGTGCCGAGCAAGGGGCATAAATGGGTACAACACGAGGACTTCCCGGGAGGTCACCCAGCCAGTACTGCTCTCGCCCACCGGCGCTTAGCTTCGGAGTTCTGATGGGATCCGGCTAATAGCTGAGGTATGATCGTACCACGTCAACCTCGTGCCCCGACCGCTACACACCCCTTGCCCGGGTCCCCCCTTCATAGTCACACCCCCTGCCCCCTCATGCCATCCGCTCCCCCCGCCCCTACCCTCCGCGTGCCCGCTCCCTTGCCGCCTCTTTTGACCCTCCCTGCCCCCCCTCGCCGTTTCCCACCGCCCGCCATTCGCTCCTCCCCGCCCGTGCGCTCCCCTCCTTTACCTTCTCCTCCCCCCTCCCCTCCTCTGCTGCACGCCTCTTCCTTCCCCTCGCCGACCCACTCCACTCCCTGCCCCTCCTCAATCCGCACCCTGCCCCTCGTATCTCGCCCCCCTATGCTTGGTTTCTCCCCTCCCTGCCCCTCGCCGCCTTTCCCCGCTCCCCACCTCCCCCCCTCTCCCTGCCCCCCCCACTCTCCCCCCCCCTTGTCCTTGGCTTCCTACCTCCCTGCCTCACCTTTCCCCCCTCCGTGTGCTCAGCTTCTCCCCTCCCTGCCCCTCCCTCCTCCCCGCCCTGCCCCTCATTTTCCCCCCCCCCCCCACGCCCGGTTTCTCCCCTCCCCGCGCCTCCCTTTCTTTCTCCGTGCCTCTCCTTTGCTCCCTCCCTGCCCCGCCTGCCCATGCCCCTGTCTTTGGCTTCTCCCCTCCCTGCCCCACGTTTCTTCCCTCCCTGCCCCCCGTCTGCCCCTCCCTTGTTTTCCCCTCACCCATTGCTTCTCTCCTCCCTGCCCTTGATTTCCCACACCCCTGCCCTCGTTTCCTATCATCCATGCCCCTCGTTTCCCCCCTTTGTACGTTCAGCCTCTTCCCTCCCTGCCCCTCCCTTCCTCCCCCCCTGCCCTTTGCTCTCCCCTCGTTACGCTCCCTTCTCCCCATCCCTGCTGCCCTCTTACCACCATCAGCCCATCCCCACGACCAGCCCCCCTCCCACCCTTCAATCCCCCCCTCCCTCTCTCTCTCTCTCTCTCTCTCTCTCTCTCTTTCTCACACACACACACACACGCACACTCCCCTCCCCCACCCCCCCCCACCTACATCCTCCCATTCTGCCCCTCCCTGCCCCTTTCCCACCCCCTCGCACGCCCCTCACCTCCCACCTCCGTGCAACTGGTTTCCCCCCTATGGTGCCACCCTTGCATCGCTCGCCCCTCTGCTCACCCTCTGCCCGCCCCTTTTCCGTGCCCTCAGTTGGCCCAGCCCCTGCCCGTTGCTGCCCCTCCCCTTGCCCCCTCAACTCCCCTGCCCCCCGTACACCCCAAGTCCCATCCAACCGCCCCCACCCTCCCCCGGCTGCCCGTTTCCGCTCTCCACCCCCGCGACCGTGTGCGGCTTCCAACCGCCCAACGGTGGTGCGCACGGGGCGTTTCTTCGCATGGGCAAGCCTCCCCGGGGGCCCCCCACCCCGCTGGGTCGTTGTTTGGGCAAAAAAACGAAAAGAAAAGAATCGGACGCGCTAAAATCGTCCTTTCTTTTTCCCGCTTGCCCCTCCCCCGGCACGTGCCGAGCAAGGGGCATAAATGGGTACAACACGAGGACTTCCCGGGAGGTCACCCAGCCCAGTACTGCTCTCGAGCCCAGTAAGCGATTAGCTGCTACCGAGTTTTTTCCCGCGGTTTCCCTCTCTCGAAGTCACTGAGCTTAGCTTCCGCCCGTAGTTAGCACTCTTCCTTCCCTTTCGGTGCGCCCTTCTTTATCGTAACCCTAATTCGAAGAGCCGCGCGTTTCCAAGCACGCTTTCTCGTCGCCTATCATGTTTAGTCATGCACTCGTTTTCCCCGCCTGTTCAATCTAGCCGCGACGTAGACGGAACCGCGCACGGGGCGCTTACCGCCAGGGAAAGGCAGCGCGGAGGGAGGCGAAATTGCTACGTTCGTAGCGATTAAGCAGCCCTCCCCTTGCGCGCCTCCCGAAGCGCGTTTTCTGCCTAGAGCGTTTTAGCCGCCCACGTTTGGCACACAAGCCGCCCCACTCCCCTTTTGCTCACTCCCACCCTGCCGTGCCTCGTCGCGCACTCGTGCATGCCACCCACACGTCGTAATTTTACCCCGTCGCCACCCACATAGTCACCTCCCTGCTCACACCGCCCCTTTCCCCCTCACACGCGCGCTTTAGCCACCCCGCCACCTAACCTCTTTCCCTAACGGCGCTTAGCTAGCAGAGGCCGCCCTGTTTCTGGAAACCGTAGGAAATAAGAGGAAACAACTTCAAGGAAAAAAGAAAAGAAAAAGAAATTCATATAAATCCGAAAAAACCAGGAAAAATCAGAAAGGCAGCTTACACCTTGTTCTCCCAACCCTCCAGGGCCCCACCCAGTCCGCCACCCCCCCATTCTGTTTCATCATACTACACCACACCCTCCCCTTTTGCCCACCAGCATTACCGCCCCTCTCCCCTTATCCCCCACCACGCCCCCAAGCAGGCCTTTCTCCCCCCAGCCTCCCGTCTCCCTGCCCTTAGTACCGCCGCGCTCTGCCCGTGCGTCACCCTTGCCCACTTCATACCACCTCCCCCTTCTCCCCCCCCCCCCGGCTTCTCCCTATCATCACCCGCATGTTCCCCCACTCCCCTGTCCACAACGTCCCTCCACCCCCCTTCCTGCTTTCCCCACTCCCACTCTGCCCCCCACACCTCTACGAGCCGTACTTCCCCCTCCAGCCTCCCTTTCCCCCCCAGCTACTTCCGCATCCAGCGTGGGCTGCACCTCTGCATCCCGCCCTGCCAGGCCCTTCGGTGACCCAACTGCCGCCACCTGGCACCACGCCGCCTTTCCCACCCCCATCCAATCTCTACACCCCCTGCCCCTGCTCCCTGCGCAATCCAGCCACCTACCCCAGCCTCCCTCTACCTCTCCCTAACTCCACACCGCCGTTCCTACCCCCAGCCAAGGTCTACACCCCTTGCTTTTGCTCCCTGGGCTGTGCCGTCCCCAACCTCCCTCCGCCTTTCCGCGGCACCAGACCGCCTCTCCCTCCCCCAGCCAACTTTTGCACCCCCTGTTCCTGCCCCTTGTGCCCTCCAACACCCTACCTCAACCCCCCCCAGTCTCCCCCTTCTCCAACACCCTCCATATTTCCTCCCCCCTGGGGCTCGCCCATCCGCAGCTATCACCCTTCATCGATTCCCCAATTCCCTCTGTCCCCTGTTTCCCGGCCCCGCATCCTATCCTGCATTTACCACAGCACCTCCTTTCGGTGCCCTCTCTGCCCTCCCACGTTCTCACCCCCCGCCTCCCAACCTTCTCATTACCCGCTACCAGGCTCACGCCAACTCGACTACCCACTACCCTTTGCCCCTTCCTCTCTGTTCCCCACCCTTCCTTTCCCACCTGGCTCCACCTGCCCACCCCCACCTCCCGTGGAATTCTGCCCTGCCCTCCCCACCTCTGGCCCACCACCTGTCCCCACACCCTGCTCACCCACCGCTACACCACCCCCGCCCCCCCACCTCCACTACAGCCCGCCAACACTTCCCCTCTCAATCGGCCCCCAGCCCGCCCCCCCCTTGGGCCCCAATCCCCTCCAACTGTCAGGCCCCCTCTACCCTCTCTTCCACCCACTGCGCACCGCTTTCCCCACCCTTTTCCCCTTTCCCCAAGCTAACCCCCCGCACCCCGGCCTCTGCCAGGGAGTTCCTTCCCCCTTTGACGCCCTCTTGAGCCAACCCCAGCAACTCACACCGCCACCGCCAGGCATGCTGCCTCTGTAACAATGCCCCAGCACCCCGCGAGTGGGGGAAAGGCAGGCCCGGGAGCCCCTCGGCGATCTGGGAGGTCCCGCAGCCGAGCCACCCCCTACTCTCCCACTCCCCCCACTTCAACAGTCAGGAAGAAACAACACACACCTGACCAAGCGAAAACACTCACACAATCTGACCCTAGGGGCCAGAAGCGTACCTTTGAAGAGGATGGAACAGAGGAACGCCAAGCCCCACTGGAGGAAATACACGAGGAGGAGCCAGCACGCTCAAAACCGCGCCCTACCCCCGCTGCCCCATCCCAGTCTACCCCCCCTTCAGGTGACAGCGGGGGCGGCACCCATGCATGCTCAGTAGAGAGATCCTCCAACTCACTCGCTACCTCCCATTCGCAAACCAGATTACTTGTGAAAACACTTAATCCTACCCGCACCCCCAAGCACATAGAAGCGGGAGAGGGCAGAGCCAGGGGGGAACTTGCAGCTGACACTGCACGGGAAGGGGTAAGTGAGTTTGTGTGTGAAGGAGCAGCAGAGGCTACAGAGGATGGGGCAGCAAAGGCTGCACGGGAAGGGGCAATGGGGGTTGTGGGGGAAGGGGCAGCAGAGGCTGCAGAGGAAAGGGCAGCAGAGGCTGCAAGGGAAGGGGCAGCAGCGGCTGCACGGGAAAGGGCGGCAGGGGCTGCACGGGAAGGGGCGGCAGGGACCGTGACTCTGGCCAGGCAAAGGGCAGAGGCCATGGAGACAGGTTTTGCAGGAGTAGGGGCCACGGAACCTGCTGCTGCGTCGGCTGGGGGAACCGCAGCAGAGGAGGCTATAGGGACCGCACCAGGTGAGGCCGCACAGACCACAGCAGGTGTGGCTGCAGGGATCACAACGGGTGAGGCTGCAGGAGGGACCATGGCAGGTGAGGCCGCAGGGAGCGCAGTAGGTGAGGCTGCGGGGAGCGCAGCAGGTGAGGCTGTAGGGGGCGCAGCAGGTGAGGCTGCAGAGAGCGCAGCAGGTGAGGCCGCAGGGAGCGCAGCAAGCGAGGCTGCAGGGAGCGCAGCAGGCGAGGCTGCAGGGAGCGCAGCAGGCGGGACTGCAGGGGCCACAGCAGGTGAGGCTGCGGCGGACGCAGCAGGTGAGGCTGCGAGGGCTGCATCATGTAAGGTTGGGCAGACTCTAGCAGGTGAGGCTGCACAGTCTACAGCTGGTGAGGTCGCATGGACTGCAACAGGTGAGGCCGCAGGGACTGCAGCAGGTGAGGCGGCAGGGACCACAGCGGATGAGGCTGCAGGCGGGACCATGGCAGGTGAGGCCGCAGGGAGCGCAGCAGGTGAGGCTGAAATAGCCGCAGCAGGTGAGGCTGCAGAGGCCGCAGCATGTGAGGTTGAGCAGATTCTAGCAGGTGAGGCTGCACAGACTGCAGCAGGTGAGGCCGCAGGGACTGCAGCGGGTGAGGCTGCAGGGACTGCAGCACGTGAGGCTGCAGGGACTGCAGCACGTGAGGCTACAGGGATCGCGGCTGGTGAGGCTGAGCAGATTACGGTAGGCGAGGTTTTACAGACTGCAGCAGTCGAGGCTGCAAGGACTGCAGCAGGAGCGACAGAGGCCACAGCGGGGGCTGGTATAGGGGGAGGTGCTACGGGTGCAGCGGGGAAGGGGGTAACGGGGACTGGTGCGAGGGAGAGTGCCGCCCCGGCTGTAGCAAGAGAGGGTACGGCAGGGGCCTCAAAGGCAGAAGGTGAGGCTGCAGCTGAAGCAGCAGGGAGGGCCATAGCACGGCCAGTAGGGGCGGCAGGGGCCGCAGCAAACTCGGGGAAACACACAGCAGGGCCGGCAGGGCCGGCAGAGACTGCAAAAGGGGCTAGCAGTAAAGCGGCAGCAGGCGGGGTGGGCTTGGGGGACATAGGGGCAACAGGGGAAGGAGAGGGGAGGGTGGTCCCGACCGGGGTGGGCACTGAAGAGGGGGATGTGATAGCGATAGAGGAGGATGAGGGAGAGGATGTGATGCACATTGACGGGCCACTGGCCCAATACCTCACGCTTGACGGTGAGGCCGACCCGGCCCCCCTGCAGCCTCACGTCGAGGTTCCCCCTCTACCCCCCATGCCCGTCCCCATGCTAGCAGAAGGACCGATGGAGGGGCTGGGGGAGACCTTGAGGACAGAGCCGCGCGAGGGAGCCCCCATCCTCACCTCCCGTCCTCCAGCCCACCAGCCCCCAGGAGCACCACTTCCCCACCCCCACCCTCAGGTCCCGGTAGTGTCCAGGGGGGCAGCCAAGGCCCTGGCCTTCTTGGCGGAGCCGTGCTCCCCGACCCCCACGCTGCTCCATGGCCAGCCCCCCTCTCCGTCCCCAACGCCTGACCCCACGGTTGCAGGCGGTCCACCGGGAGAGCACGCGGGTGCGACAAGAGCAGAGTCACCCGAGGGCACCCCTTCTCTCACCTCTCACCCCTCCCCGCCCCTTCCCTCACTCCTTCCTTCACCCCCAAGGGCAGCACACCTCTGCCCCCACCCTCAGGGGCTCCTTAGAGCACCACGTGGAGCAGCCAGGGCTCTGGTCTTCCTAGAGGAGCCATGCTCCCCGACTCCTACCAACACCCAGCCACCCCTTACCGGCCCACTACCCCCTCCTCCACCAGGCCCCCCCCCACCCGGTAGTACACACATCTCGGAGGTTGAAGCATCTCTGCGGCCAAATCCCTCTCCCACACGCTACAGGCACCCAAACCACCCGAGTCGCCGCACAGCCCCAACACGCCCACCCAACAGGCTGCCCTCCCCACACCACCCCCCCCAGGCAGCCGAGACCCACCCGCAAGGGCTTGCGCCCCAGGCTCATGGGAGCGGCGGCACCCGGGTAGAGGGGCCCACAGGAGAGGCCACCACAGAGCCCACACAAATCTCTCTCCCCCCACCGTTTGTACCTCGCTCTAACCTCCACACTGGCCCAGCCCCTCGACCCCCACCTCCAACCCCCTCTCCCGGCCGGGTTCCCCACGAGTGGCCCCGTTGGGCAGCCATCACCCCCCACACACAGCTTGCCCGATCTGTTCCCACGGAGGGGGATGTTTCGAGGAGAGTGGGGATGCACACAGAGCACCCCCTGCCTGGCGAACCACCCATCCTCCCTCCACCCACCCCTTTGGCCCCACAGCCCCCCCTTCCTTCACAAACAGGCGCGGACAACCAGGTTGGCCGCCGGCGGAAGAACAGGGGCAGAGGAGGCAGAGGGTCAGCCCACGTACTCCCCCCTCCCTCCCTCCCCCACCAAGAGCCCCTCCCCACCTCACATCCCGTTGAACAATTACCAGGCCCTACCTCTACAGCCCGTCCACCAAACCTACACTCCCGCCCCGCTCCTGCACCTCCACAGGGCCATGGGAGCGGACCAGCCCACTCACCCCCATTCTGCCCCTCCCGTGCTGTGTCCCCCTCCCAGGTGGCGGCGGCCGCGATCGCTACTGGGAGGGGGGCCGTCGGGTTGAGGGATGCGCCCATGGCAGACGCCACCGACTCCCCCTCCCATCCCTCCCACCCCTTCCATGTCGACGACCCCCTACCGCAACCCATGGTGATTGGGGAGGGCCAAGGGGGCCTTCTAGGGCAGGGTCCACACCCGAGCTCCGCTCAGCCAGCACGCCCCACTCCACCCTCTACCCTGCCAGCCCTCCTACTCTCACCTACAGGCAGGCAGGTCTTCGAGACCCCAGAGGAGGTGAGGGCTGGCATTTCAGATTTGCTGGCGATACACCGCCTGAGCAGCTCTCCGGCTGCCCCCACCCTTCCAGTCCCACAGGACCGGACCCGGACGTATGCGGAGGTCACCCGGTCTGTCCCTTCTTTTATCCCCCCCGCCACTCAGCCAGGCGCGTCACTCCCGACCCCAATGGAGACGGACCGGGGTCTGAGGCCGTGTCACTCGCACCTAGACGGGGTGGCGCCTCCCCCCGTTCAGCCCGTGGCGCAGGAGGTCACCAGCAGTAGGGATGAGGCATCCGCCCCTACCGAGACCCCTCCGCCTGGGGTAGCAGAGCCGTCACTTGAACCGCACCCCGCCGAGGGGCAGGAGCACACCACGGCACACACTTCAGGCTCACCTCCACGTCCCCCCTCCCCAGCTTCAACACCGGTGCCGGCACGAGGCCCGGCCCTATCCTGTGCGACACCACCTCTATCTTCGCTGACACCCCCCCCGCGCGGGGCTGGTGAGTCGTCTCCTCCCCTCATCCCAGGCGATCCTGTCGGAGCTCAGGCCGCCCACGGGGTCCCCTCTACAGCCAGTTCCGACGCCACGGCCCCGATTGACCCCGCCGACACGGCGACATCACCCGACCAGGTCGTGAGTTGCCCCACCTGCAGGAGCTCTCTCGCGAACCGACGCGCGCTCCAGCACCACATTCCCTTCTGCCATCCTGCGGACGCGGCTCGCAGGGCGCAGGCTGCCCATGATACCGCCTCGATCATCCCTTCCCTCTCACAGCCCCGTGCGACCGGGATGCAGTTCACCGACGCACAGTGGCAGACGCTCGACTCGGTGGACTGGACAGAGTACTTCTCGCCCGAGCGTATCCATACACGCCCTCTCCGACGTGTCCCGGAGAGGGTCCGCGGAGGATATCTTGACGTCCTCAGTGCGATCCTAGTCCGCATTGCCCAGGACCCGGAGGCTGCTGGCCCTACCTTCCTCCTCGCTGCAGCGCCGACTCTTTTCCTTGTTCCAGCGACGCCACCCGACCGCTCGCACACGGCTGCCATTGCAACGCGCATCTCTCGCTTTGGTCGAGGTGAGTGGGCTGAGCTAGTCTCAGATGCACTAGGCCGTCGCACACCCCTTCCTCGCCGCACAGGTCACCGGTCACGCACCGCCACCGATCCCTCTGCAGCAGATGAGCGCCGCATTGCACGTTGCCTTCGTCTGGCAGCGTGCAATGAGACCTCACGGGCGTGCGCGGCTCTCGAGTCCGCGGAGGCAGCCCCAGATACACAGGGGACGATACAGCGCCTGCAGTCGAAGCACCCCAACGCGGAGAGGCCGACCCCAGCTTGGCTGTCTGGCTTCCAGGGGTCCCCTCTCGTGCTCTCGGTGGATCACTTACGCCGCGCGATTTTCACAGCTCCGCGGGGCTCTTCGGGAGGACCGTCCGGTTGGGTCGCTGAGCACCTGCGAGACACTTTCCTAGCTTTCCCTCAGAGTCTCCATTTCCTCCTGGCCGTGTACCAGCAGTGGCTCCGAGGCCGTTGCGCTCCAGCTGCGCGCTCCTTGCTAGCGTCCTCCACCCTCGTGGCTCTGGCGAAGTCGAACATGGATGTTCGGCCGATTGCCATCGGCGAGGTTTTGGTCCGCATTCTTTCTCGGGCAGTTTGTCTCCAGCTACGTGACCAGATGGCGAGGGTCTTCTTGGCATCACAGCAGTTTGGGGTGGGGGTTACGTGCGGGACAGAGGTCGTAGTTAGAGGCGTCCGCCGCGCTCTGGCTGACCACCCAGACTGGGTGGTCCTGCAGCTAGACGTGGCGAATGCCTTTAACTCTTTCCACCGAGACAGGATGTTTCAGGCGCTGCAGGCCAGTCCGGAGTTTCAGTGTCTGATCCCCTTCATCGGCCTCTTCTACGGGACGCCCTCGGATCTCCACTACAGGTCAGGCACGGGAGTGGTCACGATGCACTCGGAGCGGGGCACTCGCCAGGGAGACCCTCTCAGCCCCTTCTTGTACGCTCTGACACAGCGTCTTGCTTTGGAGCCGGTTCTGGCGGAGGGGGATGTCCAGCTCTGGTCGTACGCCGATGACACGTACGTGCTAGGTCCCCCAGACAGGGTGCTGCACCATTTTGCCGAGATCGTGAGGCGCTTGGGCGAGATGGGCCTTGCAGCCCAGCCGCACAAGTGCCTCGTCTACCAGACAGAGTCCTTTCTGTCCAGGGATCTGGAGGCTTTCACGGGCCTAGGGATCGAGGTCGCACGCCGAGGGCTCACCGTGACAGGCGTACCGGTAGGCACCGTTTCGTTCGTGGAGCAGAGTCTCCCGGATCGTCTCGAGAGGATGGGGCGGGTGCTACCTTGGCTTCCGAGGTTGCGCCAGCCCCAGACAGCTGCCCGCCTTCTTTCGGCGTGTGTCAGCACTCGTCCGCAGTACCTGTCGAGGACCGTCCCTCCTTCGCCCGCAGTGATCTCCAGTTTTACACGGTGGGACGCACGCCTGGGAGAGACTTTTCAGCAGCTTTTAGCTTCAGGGACCTGGGCTTGTCGCGAGGACGTCCGAGAGGCCGCCCTAGACCAGATCTTCCTCCCCATCCGTCTCGGGGGTTTCGGCATTCGTCGCATGGCGCGCATGGCCCCGGTGAGTTTCGTGTGCTCCTGGGTGCAGTGTGCACCCATTCTCTGTTCTCTCCCTGCGTGTGGCGAGGTGTTTCGGCAGAGCTTCGCTTCAGGTGAGCCAGAGCAGATCGACCGGGCTCTGCAGACGGCGCTAGAGGGTCTCCCTCCTGACGTTCTCTCTCTCCTTCCCCCCTGGCCCTCTTGCGCTTCTGCCTCCCCCGATTCCCTTTTTGCAGGAGCGAGCCGTCTTCTGGAGGCGCATGCCTTGGAGGCCGTGCGTGCCCGTCACACCTCTCCCTTGCACCTTGCCCGTTTGACTTCCCTTCAGGGCGGAGGTGCAGGAGCGTGGTTGACGTCGGTGCCGTACGCCGACCCACTGCGCATCCCGGAGGCGCTGTGGCAGGCGGCTTCATCTTCTCGTCTTGGTCTCCCTATCCCCCAGTTAGCCCTTGCAGGTCAGTGCTCCTGCGGACAGGCGATTGACGACATGACGGTGCCTCATCACGCGGTTCGGTGCCCGCGTTACGGGGTCGCCACTACCATCCACGACACGGTGAAGTACATGCTTCGAGACTTTGCGGTCGAGGCGGGCTTCGCGGTAAAGGTGGAGGACTCTACGCTGTTCACACAGTTGGAGGCGGCTCGAGCGAGACTACTGGGACAGCCAGTGGTGGGAGAGGGGACACGGGCTGAGGGACCGGGGGAGCGGAGAGGCGAGGCGGGACAGCCGGGTGGCGGGGGACAGTGGGGACGGCACCAGCTGCGGGGTCAGGTGGAGCGAGGGACAGGTGGGCAGAGGGGACGGCAGGGGGAGCAGACGGGCCAGGACGGGGAGGGGGGACGGCACAGGCAGCAGCAGGAGAGCCAGTGGAGGCCGCGGGCCCAGGGCGCCGCGCCTCCAGGTTCGGCCTCGGGGGCGGGGCAGGGGCGGGAGCAGCAGAGAGCGGACGGAGGTACAGGAGGGGCAGCGGGATTGGGAGGGGAGGGCCAGGGAGTGAGAGAGGCAGCAGGGGATGGAGCAGGGGGGTCGGGAGGTTTGGGGGAGGGTAGGGAGGGGGAGGGGAGAGGACAGGTGGATGGAGGAGAGGAGAGGGGGAGAGAGACGATCGGAGAGGGGGCACCAAGGGACCAGACAGGGCAGCAGCCAGCGCAACAGCAGGGACCAGTCGGACGCACAGGCCGTGTAGGCACCGCCTCCCGCATTCCAGACCTCACCTGCCGCGACGTTGGCCAGGGTCTGATGGTTCTTGTGGATGTCTCCATAGCGGATCCACAGCGGGAGGGGAACGTGCAGCTGAGACGGGCGACCCCCACACAGATTGGAGTGGCAGCAGCTAGGCGGGTGCAGGAGAAGCTGCGTCACTGGGGGCCGCACTTAGAGGGGCTGCAGCCGGCACCACACTTTTACGCGTGCGTGGCGGAGACCTTTGGCCTTCTGAGTGAGCCGCTGCGTCAGTTTCTGGGGCTCTGCGCAAAGAGGATAGCACAGCGGAGGAGGGATAGAGGTGGGGGGGATGACGGATCGGCACGGATATTTGAGGCAGGACTCACTACACGCCTCTCCGTTGCACTGCAGCGCGCGCAGGCTCAATGCATGATCCAGCATGCGGTGCGGCAGTTAGGGAGGTCCGACGACGGGTGGATGCCCGCACCAGTCCCACTGGGTGCGGGGCAGGGAACTTGGCACCACGTCACAGGGTGCTTCGAGAGTGTGGCTGATATGCAGTATATATATGATGCATATGTGTAAAAAACAATAGTGGCTGTGCTTGAAACGCTGTGCCCGTGCGGTCGTGCGGGTTGCTGCCGTGTTTGGTCCTTTGGTGCTTCCTTCTCCTTAGTCTCTCTCTCTCTCTCCTCTTCTCTTCCCACCTCCCTCTTTCTGTTCCCTTCTTCTATCCTTCCCTTCTCTTCCTACCACCCTCTTCCTTTCCCTACCACTTCTTCTTACTCCTTCATCTTTCCTTCCTTTCCTTTCTTTCCCCCTTTTCCTACAAAATATATAAATCGTCCTCATAGCGCTTAGGCTATGTCGAAATTTCCTAGTCTTGGAAAAACCATTATATTCGGCTTGTATTTGCTCTTCCCTTATTAATGAATAACTGCTCTCGCCCACCGGCGCTTAGCTTCGGAGTTCTGATGGGATCCGGCGTAGTAGCCGAGGTATGATCGTACCACGTCAACCTCGTGCCCCGACCGCTACACACCCCTTGCCCGGGTCCCCCCCTTCATAGTCACACCCCCTGCCCCCTCATGCCATCCGCTCCCCCCGCCCCTACCCTCCGCGTGCCCGCTCCCTTGCCGCCTCTTTTGACCCTCCCTGCCCCCCCTCGCCGTTTCCCACCGCCCGCCATTCGCTCCTCCCCGCCCGTGCGCTCCCCTCCTTTACCTTCTCCTCCCCCCTCCCCTCCTCTGCTGCACGCCTCTTCCTTCCCCTCGCCGACCCACTCCACTCCCTGCCCCTCCTCAATCCGCACCCTGCCCCTCGTATCTCGCCCCCCTATGCTTGGTTTCTCCCCTCCCTGCCCCTCGCCGCCTTTCCCCGCTCCCCACCTCCCCCCTCTCCCTGCCCCCCCCACTCTCCCCCCCCCCTTGTCCTTGGCTTCCTACCTCCCTGCCTCACCTTTCCCCCCTCCGTGTGCTCAGCTTCTCCCCTCCCTGCCCCTCCCTCCTCCCCGCCCTGCCCCTCATTTTCCGCCCCCCCCCCCCCACGCCCGGTTTCTCCCCTCCCCGCGCCTCCCTTTCTTTCTCCGTGCCTCTCCTTTGCTCCCTCCCTGCCCCCGCCTGCCCATGCCCCTGTCTTTGGCTTCTCCCCTCCCTGCCCCACGTTTCTTCCCTCCCTGCCCCCCGTCTGCCCCTCCCTTGTTTTCCCCTCACCCATTGCTTCTCTCCTCCCTGCCCTTGATTTCCCACACCCCTGCCCTCGTTTCCTATCATCCATGCCCCTCGTTTCCCCCCTTTGTACGTTCAGCCTCTTCCCTCCCTGCCCCTCCCTTCCTCCCCCCCTGCCCTTTGCTCTCCCCTCGTTACGCTCCCTTCTCCCCATCCCTGCTGCCCTCTTACCACCATCAGCCCATCCCCACGACCAGCCCCCCTCCCACCCTTCAATCCCCCCTCCCTCTCTCTCTCTCTCTCTCTCTCTCTCTCTCTCTCTTTCTCACACACACACACACACGCACACTCCCCTCCCCCACCCCCCCCCACCTACATCCTCCCATTCTGCCCCTCCCTGCCCCTTTCCCACCCCCTCGCACGCCCCTCACCTCCCACCTCCGTGCAACTGGTTTCCCCCCTATGGTGCCACCCTTGCATCGCTCGCCCCTCTGCTCACCCTCTGCCCGCCCCTTTTCCGTGCCCTCAGTTGGCCCAGCCCCTGCCCGTTGCTGCCCCTCCCCTTGCCCCCTCAACTCCCCTGCCCCCCGTACACCCCAAGTCCCATCCAACCGCCCCCACCCTCCCCCGGCTGCCCGTTTCCGCTCTCCACCCCCGCGACCGTGTGCGGCTTCCAACCGCCCAACGGTGGTGCGCACGGGGCGTTTCTTCGCATGGGCAAGCCTCCCCGGGGGCCCCCCACCCCGCTGGGGTCGTTGTTTGGGCAAAAAAAACGAAAAGAAAAGAATCGGACGCGCTAAAATCGTCCTTTCTTTTTCCCGCTTGCCCCTCCCCCGGCACGTGCCGAGCAAGGGGCATAAATGGGTACAACACGAGGACTTCCCGGGAGGTCACCCAGCCCAGTACTGCTCTCGCCCACCGATAGTGGCTGTGCTTGAAACGCTGTGCCCGTGCGGTCGTGCGGGTTGCTGCCGTGTTTTGGTCCTTTGGTGCTTCCTCCTCCTTAGTCTCTCTCCCTCTCTCCTCTTTTCTTCCCACCTCCCTCTTTCTGTTCCCTTCTTCTATCCTTCCCTTCTCTTCCTACCGCCCTCTTCTTTTCCCTACCACTTCTTCTTACTCCTTCATCCTTCCTTCCTTTCCTTTCTTTCCCCCTTTTCCTACAAAATATATATACCGTCCTCATAGCGATTAGGCTATGTCGAAATTTCCTAGTCTTGGAAAAACCATTATATTCGGCTTGTATTTGCTCTTCCCCTATTAATGAATAACTGCTCTCGCCCACCGGCGCTTAGCTTCGGAGTTCTGATGGGATCCGGCGTAGTAGCCGAGGTATGATCGTACCACGTCAACCTCGTGCCCCGACCGCTACAACACCCCTTGCCCGGGTCCCCCCCTTCATAGTCACACCCCCTGCCCCCTCATGCCATCCGCTCCCCCCGCCCCTACCCTCCGCGTGCCCGCTCCCTTGCCGCCTCTTTTGACCCTCCCTGCCCCCCCTCGCCGTTTCCCACCGCCCGCCATTCGCTCCTCCCCGCCCGTGCGCTCCCCTCCTTTACCTTCTCCTCCCCCCTCCCCTCCTCTGCTGCACGCCTCTTCCTTCCCCTCGCCGACCCACTCCACTCCCTGCCCCTCCTCAATCCGCACCCTGCCCCTCGTATCTCGCCCCCCTATGCTTGGTTTCTCCCCTCCCTGCCCCTCGCCGCCTTTCCCCGCTCCCCACCTCCCCCCTCTCCCTGCCCCCCCCACTCTCCCCCCCCCTTGTCCTTGGCTTCCTACCTCCCTGCCTCACCTTTCCCCCCTCCGTGTGCTCAGCTTCTCCCCTCCCTGCCCCTCCCTCCTCCCCGCCCTGCCCCTCATTTTCCGCCCCCCCCCCCCCACGCCCGGTTTCTCCCCTCCCCGCGCCTCCCTTTCTTTCTCCGTGCCTCTCCTTTGCTCCCTCCCTGCCCCCGCCTGCCCATGCCCCTGTCTTTGGCTTCTCCCCTCCCTGCCCCACGTTTCTTCCCTCCCTGCCCCCCGTCTGCCCCTCCCTTGTTTTCCCCTCACCCATTGCTTCTCTCCTCCCTGCCCTTGATTTCCCACACCCCTGCCCTCGTTTCCTATCATCCATGCCCCTCGTTTCCCCCCTTTGTACGTTCAGCCTCTTCCCTCCCTGCCCCTCCCTTCCTCCCCCCCTGCCCTTTGCTCTCCCCTCGTTACGCTCCCTTCTCCCCATCCCTGCTGCCCTCTTACCACCATCAGCCCATCCCCACGACCAGCCCCCCTCCCACCCTTCAATCCCCCCCTCCCTCTCTCTCTCTCTCTCTCTCTCTCTCTCTCTCTTTCTCACACACACACACACACGCACACTCCCCTCCCCCACCCCCCCCCACCTACATCCTCCCATTCTGCCCCTCCCTGCCCCTTTCCCACCCCCTCGCACGCCCCTCACCTCCCACCTCCGTGCAACTGGTTTCCCCCCTATGGTGCCACCCTTGCATCGCTCGCCCCTCTGCTCACCCTCTGCCCGCCCCTTTTCCGTGCCCTCAGTTGGCCCAGCCCCTGCCCGTTGCTGCCCCTCCCCTTGCCCCCTCAACTCCCCTGCCCCCCGTACACCCCAAGTCCCATCCAACCGCCCCCACCCTCCCCCGGCTGCCCGTTTCCGCTCTCCACCCCCGCGACCGTGTGCGGCTTCCAACCGCCCAACGGTGGTGCGCACGGGGCGTTTCTTCGCATGGGCAAGCCTCCCCGGGGGCCCCCCACCCCGCTGGGTCGTTGTTTGGGCAAAAAAACGAAAAGAAAAGAATCGGACGCGCTAAAATCGTCCTTTCTTTTTCCCGCTTGCCCCTCCCCCGGCACGTGCCGAGCAAGGGGCATAAATGGGTACAACACGAGGACTTCCCGGGAGGTCACCCAGCCCAGTACTGCTCTCGCCCACCGGCGCTTAGCTTCGGAGTTCTGATGGGATCCGGCTAATAGCTGAGGTATGATCGTACCACGTCAACCTCGTGCCCCGACCGCCGGGTCCCCCCCTTCATAGTCACACCCCCTGCCCCCTCATGCCATCCGCTCCCCCCGCCCCTACCCTCCGCGTGCCCGCTCCCTTGCCGCCTCTTTTGACCCTCCCTGCCCCCCCTCGCCGTTTCCCACCGCCCGCCATTCGCTCCTCCCCGCCCGTGCGCTCCCCTCCTTTACCTTCTCCTCCCCCCTCCCCTCCTCTGCTGCACGCCTCTTCCTTCCCCTCGCCGACCCACTCCACTCCCTGCCCCTCCTCAATCCGCACCCTGCCCCTCGTATCTCGCCCCCCTATGCTTGGTTTCTCCCCTCCCTGCCCCTCGCCGCCTTTCCCCGCTCCCCACCTCCCCCCTCTCCCTGCCCCCCCCACTCTCCCCCCCCCTTGTCCTTGGCTTCCTACCTCCCTGCCTCACCTTTCCCCCCTCCGTGTGCTCAGCTTCTCCCCTCCCTGCCCCTCCCTCCTCCCCGCCCTGCCCCTCATTTTCCGCCCCCCCCCCCCCCCACGCCCGGTTTCTCCCCTCCCCGCGCCTCCCTTTCTTTCTCCGTGCCTCTCCTTTGCTCCCTCCCTGCCCCCGCCTGCCCATGCCCCTGTCTTTGGCTTCTCCCCTCCCTGCCCCACGTTTCTTCCCTCCCTGCCCCCCGTCTGCCCCTCCCTTGTTTTCCCCTCACCCATTGCTTCTCTCCTCCCTGCCCTTGATTTCCCACACCCCTGCCCTCGTTTCCTATCATCCATGCCCCTCGTTTCCCCCCTTTGTACGTTCAGCCTCTTCCCTCCCTGCCCCTCCCTTCCTCCCCCCCTGCCCTTTGCTCTCCCCTCGTTACGCTCCCTTCTCCCCATCCCTGCTGCCCTCTTACCACCATCAGCCCATCCCCACGACCAGCCCCCCTCCCACCCTTCAATCCCCCCCTCCCTCTCTCTCTCTCTCTCTCTCTCTCTCTCTCTCTTTCTCACACACACACACACACGCACACTCCCCTCCCCCACCCCCCCCCCACCTACATCCTCCCATTCTGCCCCTCCCTGCCCCTTTCCCACCCCCTCGCACGCCCCTCACCTCCCACCTCCGTGCAACTGGTTTCCCCCCTATGGTGCCACCCTTGCATCGCTCGCCCCTCTGCTCACCCTCTGCCCGCCCCTTTTCCGTGCCCTCAGTTGGCCCAGCCCCTGCCCGTTGCTGCCCCTCCCCTTGCCCCCTCAACTCCCCTGCCCCCCGTACACCCCAAGTCCCATCCAACCGCCCCCACCCTCCCCCGGCTGCCCGTTTCCGCTCTCCACCCCCGCGACCGTGTGCGGCTTCCAACCGCCCAACGGTGGTGCGCACGGGGCGTTTCTTCGCATGGGCAAGCCTCCCCGGGGGCCCCCCACCCCGCTGGGTCGTTGTTTGGGCAAAAAAAACGAAAAGAAAAGAATCGGACGCGCTAAAATCGTCCTTTCTTTTTCCCGCTTGCCCCTCCCCCGGCACGTGCCGAGCAAGGGGCATAAATGGGTACAACACGAGGACTTCCCGGGAGGTCACCCAGCCCAGTACTGCTCTCGCCCACCGGCGCTTAGCTTCGGAGTTCTGATGGGATCCGGCGTAAGTAGCCTGAGGTATGATCGTACCACGTCAACCTCGTGCCCCGACCGCTACACACCCCTTGCCCGGGTCCCCCCCTTCATAGTCACACCCCCTGCCCCCTCATGCCATCCGCTCCCCCCGCCCCTACCCTCCGCGTGCCCGCTCCCTTGCCGCCTCTTTTGACCCTCCCTGCCCCCCCTCGCCGTTTCCCACCGCCCGCCATTCGCTCCTCCCCGCCCGTGCGCTCCCCTCCTTTACCTTCTCCTCCCCCCTCCCCTCCTCTGCTGCACGCCTCTTCCTTCCCCTCGCCGACCCACTCCACTCCCTGCCCCTCCTCAATCCGCACCCTGCCCCTCGTATCTCGCCCCCCTATGCTTGGTTTCTCCCCTCCCTGCCCCTCGCCGCCTTTCCCCGCTCCCCACCTCCCCCTCTCCCTGCCCCCCCCACTCTCCCCCCCCCCTTGTCCTTGGCTTCCTACCTCCCTGCCTCACCTTTCCCCCCTCCGTGTGCTCAGCTTCTCCCCTCCCTGCCCCTCCCTCCTCCCCGCCCTGCCCCTCATTTTCCGCCCCCCCCCCCCCACGCCCGGTTTCTCCCCTCCCCGCGCCTCCCTTTCTTTCTCCGTGCCTCTCCTTTGCTCCCTCCCTGCCCCCGCCTGCCCATGCCCCTGTCTTTGGCTTCTCCCCTCCCTGCCCCACGTTTCTTCCCTCCCTGCCCCCCGTCTGCCCCTCCCTTGTTTTCCCCTCACCCATTGCTTCTCTCCTCCCTGCCCTTGATTTCCCACACCCCTGCCCTCGTTTCCTATCATCCATGCCCCTCGTTTCCCCCCTTTGTACGTTCAGCCTCTTCCCTCCCTGCCCCTCCCTTCCTCCCCCCCTGCCCTTTGCTCTCCCCTCGTTACGCTCCCTTCTCCCATCCCTGCTGCCCTCTTACCACCATCAGCCCATCCCCACGACCAGCCCCCCTCCCACCCTTCAATCCCCCCCTCCCTCTCTCTCTCTCTCTCTCTCTCTCTCTCTCTTTCTCACACACACACACACACACGCACACTCCCCTCCCCCATCCCCCCCCACCTACATCCTCCCATTCTGCCCCTCCCTGCCCCTTTCCCACCCCCTCGCACGCCCCTCACCTCCCACCTCCGTGCAACTGGTTTCCCCCCTATGGTGCCACCCTTGCATCGCTCGCCCCTCTGCTCACCCTCTGCCCGCCCCTTTTCCGTGCCCTCAGTTGGCCCAGCCCCTGCCCGTTGCTGCCCCTCCCCTTGCCCCCTCAACTCCCCTGCCCCCCGTACACCCCAAGTCCCATCCAACCGCCCCCACCCTCCCCCGGCTGCCCGTTTCCGCTCTCCACCCCCGCGACCGTGTGCGGCTTCCAACCGCCCAACGGTGGTGCGCACGGGGCGTTTCTTCGCATGGGCAAGCCTCCCCGGGGGCCCCCCACCCCGCTGGGTCGTTGTTTGGGCAAAAAAACGAAAAGAAAAGAATCGGACGCGCTAAAATCGTCCTTTCTTTTTCCCGCTTGCCCCTCCCCCGGCACGTGCCGAGCAAGGGGCATAAATGGGTACAACACGAGGACTTCCCGGGAGGTCACCCAGCCCAGTACTGCTCTCGCCCACCGGCGCTTAGCTTCGGAGTTCTGATGGGATCCGGCTAATAGCTGAGGTATGATCGTACCACGTCAACCTCGTGCCCCGACCGCTACACACCCCTTGCCCGGGTCCCCCCCTTCATAGTCACACCCCCTGCCCCCTCATGCCATCCGCTCCCCCCGCCCCTACCCTCCGCGTGCCCGCTCCCTTGCCGCCTCTTTTGACCCTCCCTGCCCCCCCTCGCCGTTTCCCACCGCCCGCCATTCGCTCCTCCCCGCCCGTGCGCTCCCCTCCTTTACCTTCTCCTCCCCCCTCCCCTCCTCTGCTGCACGCCTCTTCCTTCCCCTCGCCGACCCACTCCACTCCCTGCCCCTCCTCAATCCGCACCCTGCCCCTCGTATCTCGCCCCCCTATGCTTGGTTTCTTCCCCTCCCTGCCCCTCGCCGCCTTTCCCCGCTCCCCACCTCCCCCCTCTCCCTGCCCCCCCCACTCTCCCCCCCCCTTGTCCTTGGCTTCCTACCTCCCTGCCTCACCTTTCCCCCCTCCGTGTGCTCAGCTTCTCCCCTCCCTGCCCCTCCCTCCTCCCCGCCCTGCCCCTCATTTTCCGCCCCCCCCCCCCCACGCCCGGTTTCTCCCCTCCCCGCGCCTCCCTTTCTTTCTCCGTGCCTCTCCTTTGCTCCCTCCCTGCCCCCGCCTGCCCATGCCCCTGTCTTTGGCTTCTCCCCTCCCTGCCCCACGTTTCTTCCCTCCCTGCCCCCCGTCTGCCCCTCCCTTGTTTTCCCCTCACCCATTGCTTCTCTCCTCCCTGCCCTTGATTTCCCACACCCCTGCCCTCGTTTCCTATCATCCATGCCCCTCGTTTCCCCCCTTTGTACGTTCAGCCTCTTCCCTCCCTGCCCCTCCCTTCCTCCCCCCCTGCCCTTTGCTCTCCCCTCGTTACGCTCCCTTCTCCCCATCCCTGCTGCCCTCTTACCACCATCAGCCCATCCCCACGACCAGCCCCCCTCCCACCCTTCAATCCCCCCCCTCCTCTCTCTCTCTCTCTCTCTCTCTCTCTCTTTCTCACACACACACACACACACGCACACTCCCCTCCCCCACCCCCCCCACCTACATCCTCCCATTCTGCCCCTCCCTGCCCCTTTCCCACCCCCTCGCACGCCCCTCACCTCCCACCTCCGTGCAACTGGTTTCCCCCCTATGGTGCCACCCTTGCATCGCTCGCCCCTCTGCTCACCCTCTGCCCGCCCCTTTTCCGTGCCCTCAGTTGGCCCAGCCCCTGCCCGTTGCTGCCCCTCCCCTTGCCCCCTCAACTCCCCTGCCCCCCGTACACCCCAAGTCCCATCCAACCGCCCCCACCCTCCCCCGGCTGCCCGTTTCCGCTCTCCACCCCCGCGACCGTGTGCGGCTTCCAACCGCCCAACGGTGGTGCGCACGGGGCGTTTCTTCGCATGGGCAAGCCTCCCCGGGGGCCCCCCACCCCGCTGGGTCGTTGTTTGGGCAAAAAAAAACGAAAAGAAAAGAATCGGACGCGCTAAAATCGTCCTTTCTTTTTCCCGCTTGCCCCTCCCCCGGCACGTGCCGAGCAAGGGGCATAAATGGGTACAACACGAGGACTTCCCGGGAGGTCACCCAGCCCAGTACTGCTCTCGCCCACCGATAGTGGCTGTGCTTGAAACGCTGTGCCCGTGCGGTCCGTGCGGGTTGCTGCCGTGTTTTGGTCCTTTGGTGCTTCCTCCTCCTTAGTCTCTCTCCCTCTCTTCCTCTTTTCTTCCCACCTCCCTCTTTCTGTTCCCTTCTTCTATCCTTCCCTTCTCTTCCTACCGCCCTCTTCTTTTCCCTACCACTTCTTCTTACTCCTTCATCCTTCCTTCCTTTCCTTTCTTTCCCCCTTTTCCTACAAAATATATATACCGTCCTCATAGCGATTAGGCTATGTCGAAATTTCCTAGTCTTGGAAAACCATTATATTCGGCTTGTATTTGCTCTTCCCCTATTAATGAATAACTGCTCTCGCCCACCGGCGCTTAGCTTCGGAGTTCTGATGGGATCCGGCGTAGTAGCCGAGGTATGATCGTACCACGTCAACCTCGTGCCCCGACCGCTACACACCCCTTGCCCGGGTCCCCCCCTTCATAGTCCACACCCCTGCCCCCTCATGCCATCCGCTCCCCCCGCCCCTACCCTCCGCGTGCCCGCTCCCTTGCCGCCTCTTTTGACCCTCCCTGCCCCCCCTCGCCGTTTCCCACCGCCCGCCATTCGCTCCTCCCCGCCCGTGCGCTCCCCTCCTTTACCTTCTCCTCCCCCCTCCCCTCCTCTGCTGCACGCCTCTTCCTTCCCCTCGCCGACCCACTCCACTCCCTGCCCCTCCTCAATCCGCACCCTGCCCCTCGTATCTCGCCCCCCTATGCTTGGTTTCTCCCCTCCCTGCCCCTCGCCGCCTTTCCCCGCTCCCCACCTCCCCCCTCTCCCTGCCCCCCCCACTCTCCCCCCCCCCTTGTCCTTGCTTCCTACCTCCCTGCCATCACCTTTCCCCCCTCCGTGTGCTCAGCTTCTCCCCTCCCTGCCCCTCCCTCCTCCCCGCCCTGCCCCTCATTTTCCGCCCCCCCCCCCCCCACGCCCGGGTTTCTCCCCTCCCCGCGCCTCCCTTTCTTTCTCCGTGCCTCTCCTTTGCTCCCTCCCTGCCCCCGCCTGCCCATGCCCCTGTCTTTGGCTTCTCCCCTCCCTGCCCCACGTTTCTTCCCTCCCTGCCCCCCGTCTGCCCCTCCCTTGTTTTCCCCTCACCCATTGCTTCTCTCCTCCCTGCCCTTGATTTCCCACACCCCTGCCCTCGTTTCCTATCATCCATGCCCCTCGTTTCCCCCCTTTGTACGTTCAGCCTCTTCCCTCCCTGCCCCTCCCTTCCTCCCCCCCTGCCCTTTGCTCTCCCCTCGTTACGCTCCCTTCTCCCCATCCCTGCTGCCCTCTTACCACCATCAGCCCATCCCCACGACCAGGCCCCCCCTCCCACCCTTCAATCCCCCCTCCCTCTCTCTCTCTCTTCCTCTCTCTCTCTTTCTCACACGCACACACACACGCACACTCCCCTCCCCCACCCCCCCCACCTACATCCTCCCATTCTGCCCCTCCCTGCCCCTTTCCCACCCCCTCGCATAGCCCTCACCTCCCACCTCCGTGCAACTGGTTTCCCCCCTATGGTGCCACCCTTGCATCGCTCGCCCCTCTGCTCACCCTCTGCCCGCCCCTTTTTCCGTGCCCTCAGTTGGCCCAGCCCCTGCCGTTGCTGCCCCTCCCCTTGCCCCCTCAACTCCCCTGCCCCCCGTACACCCCAGTCCCATCCAACCGCCCCCACCCTCCCCCGGCTGCCCGTTTCCGCTCTCCACCCCCGCGACCGTGTGCGGCTTTCCAACCGCCCAACGGTGGTGCGCACGGGGCGTTTCTTTCGCATGGGCAAGCCTCCCCGGGGCCCCCACACCCCGCTGGTCGTTGTTTGGGCAAAAAAAACGGAAAAAGAAAAGAATCGGACGCGCTAAAAATCGTTCCTTTCTTGTTCCCGCTTGCCCCTCCCCCGGCACGTGCCGAGCAAGGGGCAATAAATGGGTACAACACGAGGACTTCCCGGGAGGTTCCCCAGCCCAGTAACTGCTCTCGCCCACCGATAGTGGCTGTGCTTGAAACGCTGTGCCCGTGCGGTCGTGCGGGTTGCTGCCGGTGTTTTGGTCCTTTGGTTGCTTCCTCCTCCTCAGTCTCTCTCCCTCTCTCCTCTTTTCTTCCCACCTCCCTCTTTCTGTTCCCGTTCTTCTAGTCCGTCCCTTCTCTTCCTACCGCCCTCTTCTTTTCCCTACCACTTCTTCTTACTCCTTCATCCTTCCTTCCTTTCCTTTCTTTCCCCTTTTCCTACAAAATATATACCGTCCTCATAGCGATTAGGCTTATGTCGAAAATTTCCTAGTCTTGGAAAAACCATTATATTCGCTTGTATTTGCTCTTCCCCTATTAATGAATAACTGCTCTCGCCCACCCGGCGCTTAGCTTCGGAGTTCTGATGGGATCCGGCGTAAGTAGCCGAGGTATGATCGTACCACGTCAACCTCGTGCCCCGACCGCTACACACCCCTTGCCCGGGTCCCCCCCTTCATAGTCACACACCCCCTGCCCCCTCATGCCATCCGCTCCCCCCGCCCCTACCCTCCGCGTGCCCGCTCCCTTGCCGCCTCTTTTGACCCTCCCTGCCCCCCCTCGCCGTTTCCCACCGCCCGCCATTCGCTCCTCCCCGCCCGTGCGCTCCCCTCCTTTACCTTCTCCTCCCCCCCTCCCCTCCTCTGCTGCACGCCTCTTCCTTCCCCTCGCCGACCCACTCCACTCCCTGCCCCTCCTCAATCCGCACCCTGCCCCTCGTATCTCGCCCCCCTATGCTTGGTTTCTCCCCTCCCTGCCCCTCGCCGCCTTTCCCCGCTCCCCACCTCCCCCCTCTCCCTGCCCCCCCCACTCTCCCCCCCCCCTTGTCCTTGGCTTCCTACCTCCCTGCCCTCACCTTTCCCCCCTCCGTGTGCTCAGCTTCTCCCCTCCCTGCCCCTCCCTCCTCCCCGCCTGCCCCTCATTTTCCGCCCCCCCCCCCCCACGCCCGGTTTTCTCCCCTCCCCGCGCCTCCCTTTCTTTCTCCGTGCCTCTCCTTTGCTCCCTCCCTGCCCCCGCCTGCCCATGCCCTGTCTTTGGCTTCTCCCCTCCCTGCCCCACGTTTCTTCCCTCCCTGCCCCCCGTCTGCCCTCCCTTGTTTTCCCCCTCACCCATTGCTTCTCTCCTCCTGCCCTTGATTTCCCACACCCCTGCCCTCGTTTCCTATCATCCATGCCCCTCGTTTCCCCCCTTTGTACGTTCAGCCTCTTCCTCCCTGCCCCTCCCTTCCTCCCCCCCTGCCACTTTGCTCTCCCCTCGTTACGCTCCCTTCTCCCCATCCCTGCTGCCCTCTTACCACCATCAGCCCATCCCCACGACCAGCCCCCCTCCACCCTTCAATCCCCCCTCCCTCTCTCTCTCTCTCTCTCATCTCTCTTCTCTCGTCTCTTTCTCACACACACACACACACGCACACTCCCTCCCCCCACCTCCCCCCCACCTACATCCTCCCATTCTGCCCCTCACCTGCCCCTTTCCCACCCCCTCGCACGCCCCTCACCTCCCACCTCCGGTGCAAACTGGTTTCCCCCCTATGGTGCCACCCTTGCATCGCTCGCTCCCTCTGCTCACCCTCTGCCCGCCCCTTTTCCGTGCCCTCAGTTGACCCAGCCCCTGCCCGTTGCTGCCCCTCCCCTTGCCCCCTCAACTCCCCTGCCCCCCTGTACACCCCAAGTCCCATCCAACCGCCCCCACCCTCCCCCCGGCTGCCCGTTTCCGCTCTCCACCCCCGCGACCGTGTGCGGCTTCCAACCGCCCAACGGTGGTGCGCACGGGGCGTTTCTTCGCATGGGCAAGCCTCCCCGGGGGCCCCCCACCCCGCTGGGTCGTTGTTTGGGCAAAAAAACGAAAAGAAAAGAATCGGACAGGCGCTAAAATCGTCCTTTCTTTTTCCCCGCTTGCCCCTCCCCCGGCACGTGCCGAGCAAGGGGCATAAATGGGTACAACACGAGGACTTCCGGGAGGTCACCCAGCCCAGTACTGCTCTCCACCGATAGTGGCTGTGCTTGAAACGCTGTGCCCGTGCGGTCGTGCGGGTTGCTGCCGTGTTTTGGTCCTTTGGTGCTTCCTCCTCCTTAGTCTCTCTCCCTCTCTCCTCTTTCTTCCCACCTCCCTCTTTCTGTTCCCTTCTTCTATCCTTCCCTTCTCTTCCTACCGCCCTCTTCTTTTCCTACCACTTCTTCTTACTCCTTCATCCTTCCTTCCTTTCCTTTCTTTCCCCCTTTTCCTACAAATATATATACCGTCCTCATAGCGATTAGGCTATGTCGAAATTTCCTAGTCTTGGAAAAACCATTATATTCGGCTTGTATTTGCTCTTCCCCTATTAATGAATAACTGCTCTCCGCCCACCGGCGCTTAGCTTCGGAGTTCTGATGGGATCCGGCGTAGTAGCCGAGGTATGATCGTACCACGTCAACCTCGTGCCCCGACCGCTACACACCCCTTGCCCGGGTCCCCCCCTTCATAGTCACACACCCCCTGCCCCCTCATGCCATCCGCTCCCCCCGCCCCTACCCTCCGCGTGCCCGCTCCCTTGCCGCCTCTTTTGACCCTCCCTGCCCCCCCTCGCCGTTTCCCACCGCCCGCCATTCGCTCCTCCCCGCCCGTGCGCTCCCCTCCTTTACCTTCTCCTCCCCCCTCCCCTCCTCTGCTGCACGCCTCTTCCTTCCCCTCGCCGACCCCTCCACTCCCTGCCCCTCCTCATCCGCACCCTGCCCCTCGTATCTCGCCCCCCTATGCTTGGTTTCTCTCCCTCCCTGCCCCTCGCCGCCTTTCCCCGCTCCCCACCTCCCCCCTCTCCCTGCCCCCCCCACTCTCCCCCCCCCTTGTCCTTGGCTTCCTACCTCCCTGCCTCACCTTCCCCCCTCCGTGTGCTCAGCTTCTCCCCTCCCTGCCCCTCCCTCCTCCCCGCCCTGCCCCTCATTTTCCGCCCCCCCCCCCCCCACGCCCGGTTTCTCCCCTCCCCGCGCCTCCCTTTCTTTCTCCGTGCCTCTCCTTTGCTCCCTCCCTGCCCCCGCCTGCCCATGCCCCTGTCTTTGGCTTCTCCCCTCCCTGCCCCACGTTT